CAGTGAGAGCACTCTTCATCATAAAGGCCTTTCCACATTCACCATGTACATGGGGTTTCTCTCCAGTATGAATTCGCTGATGATCAGTGAGGGGACTCTTCTTGATAAAGGCTTTTCCACATTCACCACATACGTGAGGTTTCTCTCCAGGATGAGTTCGCTGATCATAAACGAAGTCCTTCTTCCGGATAAAAGCTTTCCCACATTCACCACTTACACAAGGTTTCTCTCCAGTATGAGTTCTCCTATGAACAGTGAGCTCATACTTCCACATAAAGCATTTTCCACATTCACTACAGACATGTGGTTTCTCTGCAATATGGGTTCGCTGGTGAAGAGAAAGAGAAGTCTTCCAGATAAAGGCTTTTGCACAATCACTGCAGACATGGGGTTTCTCTCCTGTATGAAAACTCTGATGTGCTATAAGGTGTTGCTTCTCGCTGAAAGCTTTACCACACTCACCACAAACATGGGATTTCCCTCCAGTATGAGTTCGCTGATGAACAGTGAGAGCCTTCTCCTTGATAAATGCTTTTGCACATTCACCACATACGTGAGGTTTCTCCCCAGTATGAGTTTGCTGATGACCAGTGAGAGTACTCATCATAAAAGCCTTTCCACATTCACCACATACATGGGGTTTCTCTCCAGTATGAATTCGCTGATGATCAGCGAGGTCCTTCTTCTTGGTAAAGCTTTTTCACATACACCACATACATGGAGTTTCTCTGCAGTATGAGTTGCTGATGAACAGTGAGCTCACACTTCCAGATATAGGGTTTTCAACATTCACCACATACATGGGGTTTCTCTCCTGTATGAAATCTCTGATGTGATATAAGGCGTTGCTTCTCGCTGAAAGCTTTACCACACTCACCACATACACAGGGTTTTTCTCCTGTGTGATTTCGTAGATGACTTTTGAGATGTGCTTTCCGAATGAAAGCTTTGGCACATTCACCACATACATGGGGTTTCTCCCCAGTATGAATTTTCTGATGAATAGTGAGGTACTTCTTCCTGGTAAAGGCTCTTTCACATTCAGTACATA